TATATATATATATATATATATAGAACATAAACAATTTCTTTAAAATACATAAATACATCAAATACACAGATACATTCTTAATAACTATTTATATTTATAAAACCATCAACATTATTTATAATATAATTTTTTAGCTCTATTTTAAATATATTTAATCGCTCTTCGTTTATTATTTCACATGGTAATTTGTTATACCAATGTAGATCTCTATATACAATTGTTTTTTCCGCAGTTATTGTTTTTGTTTTTCTTATTTTAAATTTGGATTTATTCCTAGTTTCATAATACTTCTCATTCAATTCAAATTCATTGTAAAGATAATCAGGGTCTCTACCCTGATTTTTTATTTTTTATATTATGTATGAATAAACTGGTGTTATAAATTATTTTTTGTCGAATAGATAACCACCCCAATGTATCTAACATCATGCGTACATTTGTATATTTAGTAACATTTAGAATAGCACGCATGGCTATATTTTGAAGTTTTTGTAAACAGTCCAAATCACTATTAGTGTAGTTCAACATTATTATGCTGCAATATTCTAAATGTGGTAGTACAATAGTCTTATATATTAAACATTTAGTATAACTTGAAACTATATTTCTTAGGCGTCGTATCAAATTAATTTTTTTAGAAATTTTACTATTTACATACTCTACGTTTCTCTTGAAAGTAAGATTGTCGTCTATTATTACACCCAAGTATTTAGTTTCAGTTACAGATTTTAATATTTGACCATTTAATACTAAATTACAACTATTTCTCACATTTTTTGTTCTCTGATCATGTATAATCATATATACTGTTTTTTTAACATTTACTTTCAGTTGATTATTTAATAACCATTCATTTAGTCTATTTAAGCACTCATTTAGTTTCCTCTCAATAATTTCTAGATTATAATCACTAATAGAAATCATCATATTTTCTGCGAATAATTTAATATCTATACAATCGTTTTTTAAAACACTAATAATTTCATTAATGTACAAATTAAACAGAATTGGCCCTAGTTTGGAACCTTGGGGTACACCAAAATCGATATTTTGTTCGTCCGACAATACTCCTTCGAATTTAGTTTTTTGTCACCGTGACAATAAATATGATTCAAACCAACCAAGGGCTGTGTCCCTTATGCCTAGTTTAAAAAGTATTTTTAATAATTTTTTACGATTTATAGTCTCGAAAGCCCGAGCGAAGTCAACGAATATAATACCAGTGAGTTTACCTTTGTCTAGATTATTCCGCCACTTAATTATAGAGTGTTGAATTGTCGTTTCACACACTGATAGAAAATTTATGTTGACTCAAGAGATATTTTCTTGATCTAAGAATTTATTTTGGAAGACAAATGATTATCTTGCTCTAAGAATTTCTTGTCTTGATTTAGATTTTCTTGGCTTAAGAGCTATATTATCTTCAATCGATACATTGAAGTTTTTCAATTAAAATAACATTATTGTTTAAAAAACTTTAAATAATTTATCAAAGTACAATTCAAAAACTAAATAGTCTTTAATTATTATACCAAAATAAAATTATTTCTTGGAAATAAGTAGATTAATGAGTCAAAAAAAAAGCCTTTCTTAACACAAGTCGGTAACATCTTGAATCAATGTTATCGCCTATCTTGAACCAAGAAACAAAAATTCTTGAAAGAAATATATCTATATCTAGTTTCAAGAGTTCAAGTTTTGAAGAAAAAAAATTTCTTGAATCAAGATTGTTTTTCTATCAGTGCACGAGTGATTCTTACGAAAGCCTGATTGCTAGGGCCTAATTACCTTATTAATATTTAAAAAGTGATCTAATTATTGTTTTACTAAGTCTTCTAAAAGTTGTTCTAATAAAGATAAAGTATTTATTAGACGTAGCTCATTGGCTTTTATAGTATTCTTAACTTTCTGTATAGGTGTTATAGTCGATGTTTTCCATTCTTGTGGAATAACTCCTAGTTTTAAAGATGTATTCAACAAGTATAAAATCAAATTACTCTCTGATTCCCAAATAAGTTTGACAATATTGGCATTAATATCATTATTTTTACCTTTATTACAATTTAAGTTTTTAATTAATTTATCCACAGTATTGTAACTAGCTTCTTTAAACTTATCCCATATATTACATCTATTATTTATATATTCTGTATCAAAGCCTAGATTTTCATATACATTAGTGCCTATATTATCTCCCTTATTATTTACGTTTATTTCATTCACAATAACTTTAATACTATCAATAAAATACTCATTCAAAAGATTTGCAATCACAATCTTATCTGTAATAATTTCCTCGTCGAATTGAACTGCATTTAAACATGAAAAATTACTTTTTTTATCACCTATAAGCTGTTTCAAGGTTTTCCACATAGACTTAGAGCAGTGCTTATTACCATCTAATTCAGATTCAAAATAATTTACTTTGTTTGTTCGTATTTTTTCCATGACATTATTACGTAACATCTTATATCGGTTAACATCATAAACATTTTTTGTTATTTTGGCAGTCTTAAAAGCTATATTGCGTTCTTTAATAAGGTTTACTGTATTAGGATCGATCCACGGTTTATAATTCCATTAAAATTTAACAATTTTTTTGTTTATCGGAGCCATGTTATCAAGAATTTTACTTACATTACTATTTATCATATTTACATTACTTAAATAATCTAATTTATCGTCACTAACATTGTTTAGCGTTGTCATTTTAAAATGTAAGAACTTATTTCTTATTTCACTTTGAAACAAGGCGTCATTAAACTTTCTATAATCCCTTATAAGTATATAATCACATTTCGCTTTGTCATTATCTTTTAAACTATTTATTTTCACCGAAATGATATCATGGTCGGCAATTTTCGGTATGTCATGAATATTTGTAGTTAATTGAAAGCTTGTAAAGACTAAATTTATCGCTGTTTTAGAGTTATAAGTAATTCTGGTGGGTGATTTAATTTTTTGTTCAAAACCTAAGATTTTCATTTTGTTAAGTAATTTTTTGGCATAAAATTTATTTGAAAGTACATCGATATTAAAATCACCTAAAATTATTGTTTTGCCAATTACTAATAAATCTTCTGCTAATTCTATAATACTTTTACAGAATTCACTTATATTACCACTTGGTGATCTATATATATTACAAATATTGGTTTTACCATTCTTATTACTTATTTGAATGCAATTTAGCCAAGTCCCGTTTACAGCATTAGTTGAATTTGCTATTACACTATATTTAATATGTTTTAACACATAAGTAATAGTGCCTCCAGTTCTATTATTGTTTGTATTTGTTCTGACAATATAATAGTTCATGAGTGCTTTTTCATGATCCATGACATCATCTGCTACATGAGTTTCATTCAAACATAGTATATCTGGTTGAAGTTCATTCACCAATATCTCAATGTCGTCTTTGTGACGTAGTAATCCACACACATTAACCGCTACTATAAACAATTCACAACCTTTTTTTCTAACTAAAACGAGCTTGGCTGTCGTTTAATTGTTATTTATTATGCTGGGTAGTCACTTGCTTTAATTTTAGGTACTTTTGCAAACAGTCACATTTTTTGTCTGTAGCCACATGGTTTATATCCACATTTTCTATTCCATTTGTATTTACAAACTCTATACAGTTGACACATTTTTTCAAATTACATTCACAAGACGTTTCATGGTGATTTCCAGCACAAAGTCGACATGTTTGTTCTTTCACACATTTGTTGGCGATGTGATCAAATCCCCAACACTTGTAACACCTTATTACATTTACATAGTTATAAGCTTTGTACTTGTTCCATCCCCATCTAACTCTACCACATTCCATTATTGTTTCGTGTATCATTGGATTTACTTCAAGAATTAGTGAACTAAATCCATCATTCACTTTATATCTTTTAAATATTTTGATTATACGTTGTGTATCTTCATTACTCACAATCTTCTTCCAATCGTTTTAAATAATCACATCCTGTAGTCGCTTTTTTTCATCAATTTTTAACATATCTTCTTCAAGTTCAATAATTTTAACTTTTGGGAGTCGATGTCTTAAATTTCTAACTTCATAAGCATCACCAAGTTTATTATTAATTTCATTAGTCAACTTAATTTTATCGGAGTTGTTTTCCAAGTCAATAATAACGTTACCGTTAGATTTCGGTGATACTTTTCTAATATTTACACCTAAATTTATTACATCTAAATTCTTTTTTATAGTTCTGATTGTGTTTGATGAAGGTAATGTGTTTATTGGTTTTATCAAGAGGCGTTCTGTTAAAGAACAAGAGCTGGAGAGTCAGATTTATAGGTTATTTTTATTAACACTTATTACAAAATTAGGAACAAGTTTAAATTAGAGAACACAAAGTCTTTTTGATCACAGTTTCCTTTTAATGAAAGTTACTCAAATAGTTAGAATCGTAGTTAGACACCGTAAACTTAAAGAAGAAGAGGAGCTGGCTCTGTTGATGATGAAAAGACTTCTAGAATATGTTCAAGGGAGCCTGCAGGTGCACCTTACAAGGTGATGACCAGCCGGGCCTTGGGTACGATGATTTTCTCCCAGGTGTACTACAAGGAAGCTTGCAGGTCACCTAGCAGGGTGAAAAGAAGTACCGAGCCTTGAACATGATGATTTTCTCGTCTAGAAGTCACTCAAGATGATAATCTCTTGATTAGGTTATAAACACGCTGACTCAGATGATTTTCTCACACTCAGAATAACAAGATTTTACTTGAAGACAAGTTCGTTGCAGTGAAAGACTTTTATTTTAGCTTGATATCACGATGTGAATAGTAAGCGTTTGAATTGAAGACTGACTCGCAGCGCCGGACGGACTGGCTTATATACTTGACTGGCGGGATTCTCGAATTTTCAGCTGGAATTCTCTCGATTGAGTTCGAGAGACTTCTTTTAGATAAATTCACTTTCCAGATTAACAAAATGAATTATTTTGATATAAAAATGAATTTTTACTTTATTTTAACTCTTTTGATTATTAATTAATCGACTTTTAATTAATATTTAGCCAAAATTAAGAATTTTGATCCAGACTTTTCTTTTACCAGATGTTTCTAGGCGCAGACGCGAGTAAGGCGCATGCGCGAGCTAAGCGCAGGCGCGAGCTAAGCGAAAGCGCCAGTGTTGTTGTTTAGAGTACTCATAACGATCAATAGGTGGCGCCACATATTTTATTAATTATTCTTTAATAATTTTGAACCAACAATTTTGAATTATATTTTTATTTTATTCTATTTTAAACACGTTCAGTTTTGGATTCAACAATTGTGCGTTTAGTCATTGCACTATAGCTATTTTGTTCGTTACCATTATGCATATTTTTATCATTATTCCTTGATTGTAATACTTCATTAATCATAGTTTCTTTCAATATTTTAAACTCGTTCTTCATTTCATTAGAAAGTCTGGACATTTCCGACTCCAACTTTTTATGTAGTGAGTTATTTATGTCAATTACATACTCTTTAATTGATGTCTTAATAGAGTCTTTCAAACTATTAACATTAGCAATACTAATATTATCAATTTTAACCAGATAATTCTGGACTAATGTTGCATGCGTCTATCCAGGATCAGTTCCTCCACACTATTATTGTTTTCTGTTGTTTTTTCGGGTGAACTTAATCCCACTTCCTTAATGTTTATATTTGAGTTCACATTCACTGGTGTTAACACCTCCTCATGGTCATGTTGGTTTTTTGCATTCTTACGATTATCCTCAGATGTTGTTACTTTATTAGAAGTTTGCAGATTCATTCTATTATAAGGACCATGGCATCGAACTAATTGATTATTAGCATTATAAATGGTGTGTGTGCCGCAGTCACTGCACCCTGGATGATAATCCCTAAGACATATATTGCATGAGTCAACTACACGAACAATCACTAGCTTACAACGACTGCACTTGTACTCTTTAGGTCCAAGGCTTATGTCCAATGAACTAAAGCTTTGGTTGTCCATATTGATATAATGAATCTAACACCAAAATCTTAAATATGGCTACTATTAAAATCAATCTAAATTACGTTAATTTTTAATTTTCTACAGGTTGTCAAACAATTAATGTAATTTACATCACACAATTACCAAATTCAACATAAATACTTCATCTATTTATTGCACATAATATCAATTTGTCAATAAATATCAGAGCACTCAATAAACATGTCTGGTCATGGCGACACTTCAACTACAACTATTTAACATAATATAATAATGTATAACATTTGAGTAGACCCATACTGCATATATATATATA